GCTGGGGACCGGCAGGGTTTAGAGCTGCTAACAGTAACAAACCCTTTTTCCAGGTCATGTACCGGGCATGCACTCTACACTGCTGTTTATTACGGTACACTGTTGACAGCCAGTCACAAACACGAGATGTTTAAAATAAAAAAGAAAATAACTGCGGAAAAAAATCAGTTTCTAAAAACGGATGCAGGTGTTAATTCATCCAGAAATTGGTCACCTGTGAACAAATCTTTAAAAAGACAAACTGTTGTGCTTTGCTGCTATGAAAATATTAATGCTAATTATCAAATATCAGTATTAAAATCTATATTCAGTTCAAATGCAAAATCTCCAAGTCACACTTTATCATTAATTTGAATTACTTAGTACCCCCTCCCTTTTTAATTTGATCCCAGTAAATCCAGAAAATGTACACACTTTATCAGAATGCAATGTTTGAACTGAACACAACTATAAACTGCATTGAGATAGCCACTAAGCACATTCAGGTTAAAAATCAAGTCACAGAGATTTGGGTGATTAGGTTTTCCCCTCTCCTTTCTAGCCTGCAACAGACTTGAGCAATCCTTCACAGCCGACCAGAAGGAAAGGTAATCATTGGTATCTTAGTTTCAGGGAAAGTTTAACCTTTTCTCACTCCATCAGTCATACTAATATAACCTTTTCCATGGAAAAATTTTTGCTAGCCATTAATGCTAGAAAAGTATATGAATAAAATAATTATTTTTAAAAAACGTGTAACAGATATTAATAAAATTGCTACCGTCATGTTTTGGTGAAAGGGTCACTTATGTGCTGTTTGATTGCTCTTTCCAGTAGTAAACAATTTGTCTAGGAAAGTCGGCCATTCATTTATGTTACTACTGAAAAGCCCTAGCCTAATGTTGGCATATCTGGCATTGAGTTACTGTGATGATTTTCAAAAAACTTATTTAAGAGGTTCACTATTGCAAGTTAAATTGGGAATATTATCGTAGAAATGAAAAATGAGAGCCTACTTCTCTCCCTGTTTACTTCAAGGAGAACATAATCATATCACTGGATACTGAGACAAAACGTCCTAGCATTATACCAATTTCCCCAGCCAGATTAAGGCATTAATCCTGCAAGTCTACATTGATAAATATAATCATGACTTTAGGCCTATTCAGGCAATGATTAATTGAAAAAAAGAAAAGAAAAAAGGTGTTTCACATCACTCACAAAGGTTATATTGAAACATAACAGGCAATAATGTGAATTACAGTACTGACTTACAGTTTCATTTTACCTTGCCAAAGGACAATTAAAACCATACTTATCTGACAATTTAAGCCATGAGTTCTTTTTAAAAGAAGTCTTAATTCTTAAATTCTTAGCATATCTATTGAATAAAACCCCAAATGTACGCAAAAGCAGTGATCCATTGAATTTTCATACATTAAGACTGTACTTTAAAGTGGGAATTCAGATGCCGAAGGAAAGCTTCCTTGGATGTTATGGATGGTGGGAAAACTTCTCGACAGAATGCACATACTCCACACTGATTCAGTTCAGAGTCTGTATAAGCTTGTGCCAGCAAATCATTGTGTCGAGGCTGCCAAATGAGCTAAAAGCAACAGAAAAGGATTATTGCTGTGGTTTACATTATGCTGTGGTTTATCTTTATATATAAAAAAAAAATACCTGCCTCTTTAAACTAGGTGTCATTTACACCTGCCTGGACAGAGATATTAACTAGAGAGTTCTCACTGAAGAAAAGCAAGATAGGACTTTGGTTTTTTAAAGTTCTATAAAAACACTATGCTTGCAAACACTTCAAATGCCTTGGTATCAATGATAAATACTGCTACGAGCAGAAGTCTGTAATATCAGTTTGATACATATTAAGACTTTTCTTTAACTTTGCATTTCAGTATTTTACTGTAGAAGTCGTAGTACATTACAGCCATTTAAAAGAAATAAGAAAACACTTTTAACCTTAGAATAAGATGTTTCTTGTACAAAATTAATATGAATTGTATTTTATTTCTATTCTTACTGATACATAACTTTTCAGTTTACTTACAAAACCCATAAGTTTTCAGTTTACTTACAAAATGACTAGAGCAATGTCATATAGCTTAAGTTACTTATGTGCTCGGACTGCCTTTTAGTGTAAATGTGTCTCAAATAATCTGTTTTGGGATTCTTTCTACCATCTTCTCCTGGTCCCTGAGCTAGGTAAAAGCCAGCAAGTCTGTTTACCTGACACTGGAGTTCAAGGGATTTGAACCTGATACAGACTTTAAGTCAGAGTGTACACTAATTATTTAGCATCATACCAACTAAGAATCAAAAATTCTTCTATCAAAGTAAAGTTCAAAATTAAGTTTCATTACTTTAGTATTAGCAACTCAAGATAAAATACATAGTTACGTTATATGGCCAGGACAATTAAGTTTTGAGTAAACTGAGAACTAAATGCATACTGCTGTGACTGCAAAGTAGACAGAATGGCAGCAAGCTGGTATGAGCTCTATGTGGGGATGGAACATAGAAGAGGAGAGAGCCCTACAGTTTTTTTGGCTCAGTTTTCTTCTCTCTTGCTTCACTCAAACATGAAAAGACAAGGAGAAATACTTCAGAAAGCAGTTTCTTTAGAAGTTTTAAATTTCTTGCTATGTTACTTACGTAAGAGTTTTAAATTTAATATCTTACTCAAATTTCATCACACCAATTAGTCAGACTCTATTGTTTATTTTTCCCATGGTGAGTCCCTGTACAACTAACCAGGCTTTCATAGTGGTTAAACTGTCTCATTAAACCAGCTAAAACTTCTTGGAGTCAATTTCCTGTCCATTTCAACATTGTTTAGCTTATCAGACAGCAACAGCAGATTTACTGTCTTTCATTATGGTCAGTAATCCATATAATTAAATTGACTAATTAGTAATTAAGTGAAATCACACCGTATTTTCTGCTCAAAGAGTCTACTTATTGTATGTTGCTGGTGTAAATTGCATAATAAATCTTCTAGACACTGACACACTTAAACATCTCTGCAGAAATGTGTTTAGAATTTCTTGTTTCTAATACCTTATGAGGTACAGCACCATTTGAAAAAGGATAAAATAGTATTGCAGAAACCCCACAAAGTAAGGTTTCTAATCTTGGAAGCACAACAAGGAGAGGTACTCCTCCAGCAACCCACTGAGGCACGCACTTAATTTCACTTTCTTTCTTCAGGTGTTAAGCATGTGCTTAATATGCTTTTCAGAATAGGGATATATTTAAGCAGATGTTCCATTGCAAAAACATTAATATTCAGATTATGATCAACAGACATCAATTTGCTTTTAAAATCACGAACATTCTTAGAAATATTTTTGGTGGAAACAACCCCCTCAAGCTGCGAATACCGATAAACACATGCATCTATATGCAAGTCGCAGCTAAATGTAGTCTGTAAAATCCTAGGTCCACTAATATCCGTGTTTATTTTAATCTGCTGCTCTTTTCAGTCACATGTTTTTTTAAAAAGTTACATGCTAAGAAAACAGTACTGAGTTTTCGCATTTAGTATCCACATAGAAGGAAAGAGCTAAATTTATTACAGCAACTGAGAGCAGTTCCAAGAACTTACCGTTGCCAAATCTATTGCATTTATGGGGTTTTCCATTTTGTAAGTTAACATATGTAGTAAATAGTTGAAAGTTTTATCTACACTAGGGAAAAAAAAAAATCAGGTATATAATTCCTCCCTACGGGAACTTCACCAGTGGCAGGGATGATGGAAGCTCTAAGTAGTGTAACTACCTCTTAGAAAGGTGGTAAAAATACTAAGAACTAGTTTATGCATAAATTTTGCTAAGGTTAACACAGTTGAGAATGCATGTATGCAAGTATCTTTTAAAAACCATTAATATATCTACATACCTACATATATATATGTGAATCAAATCTTTAGCACAATTAACAGTCAGAAAAAAACCTCTAAAGCTGACTCAAATTAACTGGGAAAAATACTTAAAAACCTCTTTTGAAGGCAGCTGGATATATCGATACACACAGATGAATACTTAATGGATCCTAAAGTAATACTGGCTTGTTTCAAAAAAGCTTCTGGATTAGATATAACATTTTAATTGATGTCCTGTATGTTCTACAGTGGTACTGTAGATATGACAAATACTGAAATATTTCACCATTAGATTTCTTTTCTCCAAGTGTTAGCATTACTACATTTTTCTCCACAAATCAGATCATTTACCTTTTAAATGATGGACCCAAATTAATTTCCTTATTTTGCAGAAATACCAATGATCAAACCAAGCGCTTACTGCTATTCAACCACAATTCTCTACTTTTTAAGCAGCATACTCCCCTATCAATTATAGTCACACACCAGCTGTTTCACTTGCTGTAATACACAATGCAGGGTGCCATCTATTGAAAAATGAATACACAGACTAACTAGTAAAAGAACAAGCTGGAGAGGGAATACAGAAAAAGAGGATAGTAACAAGTAATGGAGTGAATGCTTCACAGCTCCACAGGACTTTCTGGTTTAATTTATTTAACTCAGTCACAACTTTAACTGAGGACTGAAAAATGAAAAATAAACTGTGATTAGTAAGTCGGTATAGAATTGAAATCTACATTACAAGTAAGTATTTAAAATACGTTCTGAAAAATCAGGTTTATAGTTTAAAATACAGTGATGAAGAACAGCAGACTCTCTATGCTTGAAAACTCTCATCCCAAACTGGTTTGCAGTAGAAAATTAATCTAGACTGGGTACATTTATGAAAAAGCAAATGTCGAAGCTCTCATGTCCTACAAAGGCTTTCCAAACGTTAGTTTTGCATCTCACAGGGTGGCCAAATTGAGGTGTAAAGCTCTTCTGATGCATGTACCTTGTCATTAACAAAGAACATAAAACCGCATCAGTGTAAATAGTAAAATATGCCAAATCCACCCTTCCAGTATTCCTAAATATCACTACTTGCTTACTCTTGAAAAGCTGTCCTCTCACAAGGAGTGAGAAAAGCCACAGAAACATAAAAATATCAGTTTATGAAGGTCCATAATTTTGCCAGCAATTTCAGTTGAGACAGGACATTAGACAAAAGCAGCAAAGTATTCAGAGATGTGATTGTCAGAACCTGCTGAAATGTTTTTCTGCATTACAGCATCTTGGCCTTGGTTTCAGAAGCTCCCACGGACTTCAGGTAGCTATAACTGAGAAGCAATCCCAAAGTACCTACATATACCTAAAATGGAGTATTTTAGTGAACTTCCTTTCAATCTAGGGGGCAGATTATGATTAATGACAGCTTTTAAATATATATAGAAGCAATTAATATCTAAATGAACTGAAATTTGTGCAAACATATCCAGTGCTTACATCTGCTTAAATTCTTGCCCTTTCATTGGAAGTGCCTCACACAGATACTTCAGTATCAGGAAGAACTGACAAGAGATACCGTCTTAAAAAAAGACTGATGAGATACCTTATAGAATACATTAATCCTGTCTCAAAGATCTCTGCAAAGTGGTTGTCCAAATCATTACCAGTTTTTGAAATACACAGTATTTGTAGAAAGATACCTGATGAGGACCTCTGACAGTTGTCCCAGCAGCTTCTAAAGAAGAAAAACTTACTTCAGGTATACTCGGGTTTGTGTGCTGAGGTACAAACGTGAAACCAGTGTCTGTTGTTTTTAAACATGTTTTGTCACGGTCTTCTATGGGCATGTTTGCATGGTTTGGAAGGTTTATTTTGTCAACAGTAGCTAAGCTTTGTAAAGCTGAAGTCATGAGATGAACTCCATGAGCTTCAAATGAGTTAAGTTCCAATTTACTGAGGTTAACAGCATGATCTCTGCGCTCCAGGTTAAAATGATGATCTTGAAGCCTGTTTTCAGCTATACCAGTACAAGAAACTGTTGGTTTTTCCTGAGTGCTCTGCAAGAAAGCAGAGTCATTGTCTGTAGGTGGAAACTTGACATTAAATTTAGAAAGTGATTCTACAGAGTTGTTGTCCTCATCTTGGCCCACTCCTCTTGGTGTGATAGATGTGATGCATGATGCACCTCTATTTATATCCTTTATAACCCGAGACTTAAAAAGCTCTTCTGCTTGTTCATCAGTTTTATCAGTACACTGTATCGGCATGGAAAACTGTATTTCTGTGAAGAGAGAATGAAGATAGTCCATTAAATAGTTCACTGAAATATAGTTATTAAAGTTGTGGTGGGGTATTTTTCCTGAGAGGCTTTTGATCTTCCTTCTTTGCTTTTTAACATTAATTTTTCCTCTTTGAAATCAGTTTGAGTGTGGTTCTCTATATTCTAACACAAAAACTATCAGAACAGAAATAAAAGGAAATAATTCTATTTATCTCTCTTTGATTTATGGCTATAAACTTTTTAATTTTATTGAAAATTATGTTGTCCCATTCTCTAAACATACAGTTGCATATATTTACTGGAGTGTTCTGGCAGAAATAGAAGCTGGAACCAAAACCATTTCACATGGTGCCAAGAACATGTTAGGCACCATGAGCATGGTTTTAGAAGGTATTCTGGTACCAAACACCCACTGGTTTCCAAATTAGGTAGATGTTTAAACTGATCGACTATTCAGAAGTGGGACCACATTTTCCCTTTGTTTTGAGAATTCCCCCTTCTTTTTCAGCGCTTTATGAACAAAAATCATCATAATAAACATGGTTACTCCTAACTGAGCAAGAGAGTCAATTCAGTACACATTTATTGTACTTCTGACATCACTCAGATATTGTAGTAAAGTGGGCCACAGAACTTACAGAAATCAAGAAGATTAAATCTATGTCATGTATAGCTTTTTACAGAGTTGAGTTAGGCAGTTACTTAAAGAGAACAAATCCATTCTGAAGTGATTTGCCAAGCACTCATCTCCCCAAATAAGGAATTTAGTAGTGTACAATCAGAATCTAACAATACAGTTCAGACATAGCAGTTCAAAGCCACAAGGTGCACATTAACATTTCATGTAACAAAACTTCAAGTAATGGTATAACCTAAATTAGCAGCATGTGCTGAAATCAGCATCTTTTGCCTTAAGTGTGTAAGTTAGGCAGTTGTTTTTTGAAATCACTTTAGAGTCTGATGCCATTATTAAGAAAAGCTAGTAGGGAATACCCACAGTAGCCTCCACCATTATTAAATGTAAGCATTAGCAGAACTGGACATTCAGGATCTCTTCCAATTGTTACAAAAATCAAGCCTTTCTTTTGTTTTCAGGAAGTGCTGGATTATGCTCTTGTCCCATGTAACAGAACAGTATTCAAAAGTTTGCACAAGAAAGTCTAGAAAGTAAGTCCTCTCTGTCTGTCCTCAGTCCGGCGGTTTTCCTCTAAGACATAAAGGGCTAGAGACATTCATAACAGACATCTTTTGAACTGACAGCTAAATTAAAAGCAGGCAAGTGCTGTCATTCACACAGTATGATGGGATATCACATGTAGTAAGTGCCTGCTTCTCACTCCAAGGGACAAAACAATCACAAGAGCCATTGATGTGATGACTGTCTTTTATAGCATGTGATTTGGAGCATTCGTCATAGAATGCCAAAACTGGCGGTGTGTTTTCTTGGTAAAATACTAAGCACCATGTGAACAGACTTGAAAAAGGCAGATGGTAAACAGTGGAAGTACTTCTATGTATGTGTAATTTACAGTATTTTCAAATATAAAGCAAAGCTTCCAAACAGCTGAATCACAATAAGAGCTTAAGTATGATATTACCAGTTTCAGGTTCTGGCTTTATCTTAAATTTACTCAGTTGGTCTGTTTGTTCTCTGGCTAACACACATATTTGATGACACTCTTCCTTCATGTCCTGGAAAATAGTCTCCAGATTCTCTCTGGAAGATCAAAATTGAAAATTAAACACTCAACCAATTCAGCTTGTGACCTTTAATCTAGTAACACCCATAAAACAGAGAAAAACAATAGTGTACGCTACTTTTCTGGGATACCTTGTTCACCATATGTATATGTATTTTTGTTCTCCTCAATAAATGCAAGCATAAAAGGGAAAAGAAAATGTTGTCAAAAAGCTGTTTAGTCATATCATACACACATACAGTTGACCTTAGGGCCTGACCCCACAAGGATCCCCCCTCAAAATTTCACTCTTTACATTTCTTTCAGTTCCCTCAGGCATTTTGTAGAACAGCTTGGCTTTCACAAGGGTACTGTTTCCATCTAATTCTAGGGAACATAAATTGCTGCTGCTGTGAACATTAATTGTTTTCCATTGTTTTCTGTGCGCTTCAGACTTTGCAGCAGCAGGAACACACAAACGTTTGTTATTGCTCCTTCCTTTGCCTACCTGACATTTTGGAGAGGGGCCTGTAAACATATTCCTTCTCTCTTTTACACAACATCACATGACTTTCCCTTTTATTTGGAGGGATTTTTAAAATTACATCTTTTCCAGAGTATCATATGAACATCCAATATTTAGTTATCTGCACTAAGAAAGGTATGAATAATTCTTGCTGGTGTGAATTTTACTCATACAAAGGCACTACGTTCTTCAGTTACTAACGTATCCATGGAAGTTCATTGTGAAATTTTTATAAACTTCCTGACTAATTTATATTTCTAAGCACAATATAACGGATTTTATAAAATGAACTTCAAGGATGAAAAAGTGAAGTTGGTGACCAACTGGACTTGTGTTCTCTTTTGCATCTTTTTATCAGAAGAGCTCAAAAGGGATTTTTCTATAATCCAGTGAATTGTTTTCCTTTTTATTGCTTACTTATCAGCAATAAGGAGTGTGTTCCTACTTCTGCTGTGCCTGTCTTTTTGAAGACAGAAGTGTATATTTATATCTTATTTGAAAAAAAATTACAAAAGGAGTTAAAAGTTGCTACTGTTTACACATTCTGGCCATTTTTCAGGTGTTTTAATAAAACAGAAATTAAAAAAGACACTAAACACGAGTTTCTAATTGGAGCTTTAAAATATACACATGATTAGATGAATCAATCTTAATTTGCTAGACATTTTTTATAATATCATTTTACTATCAGTAAACTGATATTTTTACTATTAGTAAAATGATAACTTTGTTGGTGTAAGATTATTGGTAATCTTACCAGTCACATACCTCTTTTCCAAGAAAACAGTAAAGTAAGGGAGCTATTTGACAGCAGGGAAACAGAAGACAGGTAAAGATTTTTCATTTTTTAGGTATATATAAATCAGTAAAGACAAAAAAGTCTTCATCACATCACAGTCATATTTCCTCTCTTTCTTATCATACAGCAGTAGTGAGTTGGACTAAAAATTCACCTAGTTCATCTGGCCTGTGTCTGAGAGTGGCCAAAAGCAGATGCCTAGGCAAGAGTACAAGAAGACATCAAGAATTTATTATACTTTTCCCTAATATTCTCCTAGCCTCACCTTACAGAATCTTCTGCTTGACCTCAGCAAAATTGTTAAAAGTGGTATTACTGCCTATGCTGTGAAAAATGCAAATCTAAGAGTTTGGTCAATATTTTTCCCAAAACACTAGCAGAAGAGGGAATACTTGCTTAGGAAGTATACTGCTTTTGGTCCCTTGGTCATAGCAAGGGCTGGCTGGCTTCAGCTTAATGATAAACCTGGTTTCAAACTCTCTCATTTAGGATGGGTCAGGCCAAGAATTATTTCTTCATGCTGACTATCAGACCTCCTCCTGGCAGCGCAGCAGGATCCTCTGCTGTGCTGCCATCAGTTAATCCATTATGGTTGTACAGTCCTGTTCTGAAGAGAGCTAATGCAAGGGAGTTAATGCTTATCCAAAACCCAGCGTTAACATTCACTGCTGTTTTCCACAGAGTTTAACCTCCTGCTGAACCAAGTGGCTATTTTTCTTCCTTCCAACCTATACCTACCTACTTCCAAAGCCCCAACTATGATTTCAAATAGTTTCTGGCTTTATTACCTCAGCTCTTTGACCTCTGTTGCTCCCTGCTCCCTCTCCTCTCTCATCCATTTTTTAAGTTACTGTGTAGAAAAGAAGGAAATACCTGGTCTTATTTAACGGCAGGAAAGACAATTAAAAGCAAATATTAAAAATGCTGCAAAAGTATTTACCTTTCAGGCATAGGTGAAACACCAGATATCCCTAGAGATAATTCAGGCTTGTCTGGAACAACTTTCTTACTTTTCACCTTGAAGTAAAATATTAATGATACGTTAGCATATTAATTTTGCTCTTCATCCTGATATGAATAAAAATACCATGGGATCCTTCATCACCTGGAAGCTCTCAAAACATTCACAAAATTACAAAAGCAGTTTTTTACTTTTTGTGTGAAATTCCTATTTGTAGTTTAACTTTGCAGTTAAACTAAAACAGTGTGGCATTCCTATGCTCACACTCCCTTAAAAGGAAACTGGTTCTAAGAATATTCCTTGACTGTAATTCTGTTTGAATCATGTATAAGGTAATATTATATATTGTGTATAAGCTTGTTAGTGAGGTAACTGGCTATTACAGCTCTTAAAAAACCATTTATTCACTGAAATTTTCAATGAACACATCACAAGCTAGTATATCAGGAGTTCTAGCACATTTTTAAGTAAGTTATTAACTTGGACTACCACCCTGTGGTTCACTCTAGTATTACAGAGTTTTAAATTTATCATGCATTAAGAAAAGTTTTCATAATAGCCAGTCATTAAGCTGCAGTTCCACTGTATCTACATGACCATGATGGCCTTGGGAGTTCATATGTGCTCGAAATCAGATGCAGAACTTGATCCTATGTCTGCCAAATCAGCTGATTTCAATGTTATATTGTTTATAACCACAAACCCATAGTCTACACGTTTGCTTTACCTTGTGCTGAAGTGCAACTGCAGCTCCCATAGACACATTTAAACTGCCTTATACCTAGCAACATGGGTTACAAATACTTGCTGCAGCAAGTTAAGCAATGCTTGGGAATTCTAATAGCAACAAATTATGTGTTGCTGTGCTCCTACCGTTGCCCACATTCACTTGAAATTAGCCTGCTGAAATATGTTTGCATGGTTAGATTCACCCTGATGGCTGCACTCTAGCTGTCCCACAAGGACAGAATAGCACTCTGGATGCTCTTCTGTAACAAAAACAGGTGTGGCATGAAAGTGAAAAAATCAAGTCCATCTTGGTGAAAACGTCCAACTGAAATTTATAATAAAAACGCTTATCTGAAGTTCTCACAAATACTAAAATTCAAATGACATAACAGAAAATAACTAACACACAAACCAACTAATATGTATCTAACCATTTGGTGCTCCCTACGCCCTTTATATACTTCATCAATTCCCTAGTTGTTCTAATGCTGAAATTTAAAATCAGTTGCTTAGAATAATTAGTATAAACACGTTGAAAGAAGTAATTTACAAATGTTTGGGTTTTTTTTCATTATATCTCTACTCTGTTTCTCATCTTACCTCTGTATTATATGTTGGCATCTGTATACCCTTTTGTGCGTCATTTAATTCTTTCAATTTGCTTTTCAGCGTTCTTATTTTATCTTCTTGGTTGAAAATAATAGATATAAGTTTCCTTTCCTTTTGATTGTTTTTGTCCTCAAGTTGCTTCAATTTCATGCTCTCACTTTCTAACTGTTCCTAAAAAATAATTTTAGAAACACCAGCACAATTAATACAGTTGAGGCCTGTGAAATAGCACTACTCAGAATAAGCAAAATTAAGCTTTTGCAACACAAGTAAGATCAGTCCTGTTCATCACATTTTTAATTTTAAACTGATATTAAAGACCTTCTATCACTACACAGATGTTACTAATCATAGATGATTACTCAAAACAACTGTCTGTTCTGCATAAAAACACTCTCTTGGTCCACTTACTATATAATTTACAGTAACATTTTGTGTACAATATATTGCATGTACAATATATAAAGTAATCATAGAATCATAGAATCAT